TTTAAGGTACTCAGATGTAGGGCTTTAGAAAGGGGGAGGGGAAATGAGACCTTGTCCATCAGATTCTTGTAACTTGGGAGCAGGGGACCATTTGAGCCTAAAGAGCATGGAATTGGGAGCTTGTTTTCCTTTTCTCCCTTTCTGCCAGCGTTCCTGAGATGTCGCACCACGGTTCACAGACCCTGGGTAATTATGCATCATTCTTGACTCTTGAGTTAATCTTTGAGTTCCAATCCTGGTTTCTGGTTCTTGAGTTCCACTCTGAGTTCCACCACCTCAGAGGGTCCTCAGTGGAACTCAGAGTGAAAATCAAGATGACCGCTACCCTGGCTTTTCTCGAGTTCATTAGGGTGACAATACCAGTAAGCCTGTCTCATACTTTGCATTTATCTGTCTTTTGACTCCATGAAAGAACGAAGAAGACTTGACAACTGATGAAAACAGCTTTCCTTGAGCCCCACCCACGGATAGGACTTAACCCTTTCTCCTATGGAAAAGGGTGCCAAGCTTGCGCTTCTTGGTACTTTGTTTGGTCAAGGTTTGAACTTTGCCTCTCTCTTTTTGGGAAAATACACCCTCATGGTTGCTGGAGGTGCTGGTAGGAGTAGGCACCGCTAGCACCCCAGGGAGGCTACAGCTAAAAAAAAAAAAAAAAGGAGATACCGTGTGGGTGTCTCAGGTTTCTCCCATGTCATGGCCGCCTCAGGGCCCTGGAGCTGAGGGATGTCCTCGTCAGAAAACCACCAACCGACTGTTTTTTTCCAGTTAATTTTCATTTTTGATGCCAGTCTGAAGGCCTCCATAGCTCTAACCAGCGCACTAAAGGAAGAATCCGAAGCTCGAATGAGAACCGTCAGATCATACGCAAACATTATTACCGTCAGGAATTGCAAGTGGTGAGTGGTACCCACGTTGACCTCTGGTAGCCTGTGAATGGAGGGGTCTTTGCGCAAGAATGAGGCTATAGCCTCCATCACAAAGAGGAAAATTGGCGGCGCTAGAGGGTCTCCCTGGCAAACCGACCGTGAGATCGGATAACATGCTGATAGCAAACCATTGACTTGGACACAACCCGTGGCATCATTGTACAGGATGCGCACCCACTTTCTGAAATTTGGGCCCACTCCCATCTTCTTCATACTTGCGTTAAGGAAGGCCCAATTTACCTGATCATAGGCCTTCTCAAAGTCGAAGAAGAGGATTGTTGTGTTTATCCTCTTCTGTTGCATACCATCACGGTGCAGACCAGACCAAGAACCGATCTTTCTCGCCAGATACAAGATAGCACAGCGGAAGGCTCAAATACCACTGATCCGATCAATCAAGCTGCCATGCAGACCAAACATACATCATCATCATTTCATGGTGTGAAGGGGCTGACGCTCACACAGGAAGAACGCGCCAGTCCCCTGATCATGCACAGACGAAGAAGAGGGGGATTAGACGAGCGGGAGGGGGACGATGGAAATGTCGTCAACACCAAGTCTTCGATACAGTCCCAAATAATCCCTCGCCAAAGGTCTGAATCCCGATGCTGAGTCTGAACCCAAATGTCGTCAAATCCCAATGTCGCCCATCTCTCTCTCTCTCTCTCTCTCTCTCTCTCTCTCTCTCTCTCTCTCTCTCTCTGATAGATATGGAGAAGTCAGGCAGCAGGAGGGTGAGGAAGAGATGGCGGACTTAGAGGAGGAAGAAGAAGAACTCAATCTCTCTCTCTCTCGTAGTCCGGTACTAACCTGGAAAGGTGGCGCCTGGCTGCAGGTATGTCGAAGACGAAGCTGGAGCTATGGCGCCGCAGGTGAGTTTCCCTGGCCTCCGCCAACCATCTCTCTCTCTCTCTCTCTCTCTCTCTCTCTCTCTCTCTCTCTCTNTCTCTCTCTCTCTCTCTCTCTCTCTCTCTCTCTCTCTCTCTCTCTCTCTCTCTCTCTCTCTAAGCTCCTACTAGCGCCCAACGCTGAGGACTACTACTATCGCTACTCCTCCAGCGTGCCGCTGCCAGATCTTGAAGACTCCCTCCTGCCTTGTGCACGTGAAGTGCCTGTCAACTACCCGCAGCCTACAGGGCGGGTCAGCATTATATAGTGCTGGCCCGTCCGCGAGGCTGCTCGTGCCTATGCCAAAACGTGCCAGACCCTGGGGTTGACGCTCCACAAAATAGGCCTTAAAGGCCTGAGCTGAAACCCCGGTCTGGTGCCTGAGTTTCAGGGTAGGTCGATCTTGCGAGGGCCTGAAAATGGCCCGTTGTTTTCAGGCTGGAGGCCGAAACGACACAGGGCCTGAAACAGGCCCTACCCCTACGGACCCTTAGTCTACCAGGTCGGGCTCTGCTGGGCCCGTGTGGTACGGAGTATGCCACACTCCCCCCTCCTTGAAAGACCGAGCTTACCTGCGAGGGCGAAGCTGTCTGGAGGAGGGAGGGACTGAAGTCTGGGTGGGACGTTGTGCAGCTTCCGTCGCTAGCCGTTTCTTCTCATAATGAGCATAGATGTCAGGAGCGGAGGCTCGCAAAGCTGCCCGGGAAATCTATCGCGTGTCATCGGGGTCACACCACTTGAATGTGACTTTGTACTGCATAGGCTTGTTGCCATGCTTGCGATGCGTGATGACGCGGTCGACTTCCTGATGACCATCCATGGAAGGAGGGTCCTGTGATCGTCGTCCCGGGAAGTCGTCGCTCTTGGCTGGTGTATATGTGGCCAGCTTGGAGGCGTGGAAAATCGAGTGCACCGTGAGGTGCGGCAGGATTTCGATTACAAATGAATGGCCATCGGGCTCATCACCCGCGGCTGATGTGACGGGCCATGGTCCAAACCACTTTGGAAGTAGCTTGCGGGATACATCCTGCTCGAGGGCAAACTCTTCCGTGGAGACCCAAACAAGGTCGCCGGCGCGGATGGGGCATGGCACGCGACGCCTGTTAGCTTGCTGTTGCATGTGGACTTGAGCCTTTTGCATGTTGGCGCGGGCATTAGCCAGCAAGTCCCTATACTTCCGAACGGAGGCGGGAGAACAAGCAGCGTCAATGTCGGCAGTCCTTGGAAAAGGAAGATCATCGAAGATGCGGCCCTTCAGGCCACCGTGGTGTAACTCGAATGGAGTCACGCCGATCGCCGGGTGCACCGAGGTGTTGTAGGCGAATTCGATGTCGGGGAGGTGATCCATCCAATCCTTCTGATCCGTACGGATGAGTGTGAGAAGCATTACTTGAGCGGTTTGATGTGCCCGCTCCGTCTGCCCGTCCGTTTGCGGATGCCGAGCCGAATTTGGTTTCATCTCGGTGCCGGACTCTTTCATGAGAGAGGTCCAAAATGCCGACATGAACTGAGTGTAGCGGTCGCTGACGATATCTTCCGGAACGCCGTGGCTGCAAATCCAGCCGGTGTGTAAGAGGCGTGCAAGTTCCGGAGCCGTGGCGTGGTACTTGCAAGGAAGAAATCGTGCGTACTTGCTCAAACGGTCAACAACCGTGAGAATGTCGTCGTGCCCGAAGCGGTCTCGGGGGAACGGGCCAGTGACGTCCATGGCAATGGAGAGGCCGGGTTCCCGTGGAATAGGCGACAGGCATAACTCACCGTAGGGGTTGCGATTGTGGGGGTTGCTTTGTCGGCAAACTTCGCAAGAGTCGCAATACCGAGTGACGTCGGTAATGAGGTCGGGCCACCAGAATCGTTGTCGAAGTCTTGCGATCGTACGGTTGACTCCGAGGTGGCCGGTGAGTCTCGAGTCGTGGTACTCGCCGAGGAGACGAGTTCGTAAGCGACGGTCGTGTGGGACGCATAGTAAGTCCTTGCCGCGTGCGTGAAGAAGCAAGCAGCCATCGACGACGCGATAGTGACTGGCCGGCGGGTGATCCGAGGATAGTTGCGTGTAGAGCGTGGCGTATTCCGGATCGGACTTGTATGCTCGCACAGAATGCTGATGCAGGGCTTCGTCGAAACTGAACGCGTGGTGAGTCACTGCGCAAAGATCTGATCTTCGCGAGAAAGCATCCGCGGCTCGGTTGGAGAGGCCCGGGATATGTTTCGGTGTGAAGTCGAACTGATCGATGAAGTACATCCATCGGGCAATCGTGTTGCTCACCGTGTCCTGCGTCTTGTAGTAGGTCAATGGGTTATTATCCTTCACCCAAGTGAACCTACGACGCCCGAGGAGGAAGTGTCGCCAACGCTTGAGTACCGTGATGAACGCAAGCAACTCCTTCTTCCGCGCATCATCAACTGAGTTGATGGGGGGCACCTTTTAGCTGAAGTTCTCAACCGGATGCCAATCTCCTCCGTCGTGTTGTTCCAAAACTGCACCCATGCCGTAGCCGGAAGCGTCCGTAGTCACTCTCGTAGGCAAGGTGGGATCGTAGATACTCAAGACGAGAGCGAGGAGCAACGCCGTCTTCAATTTGTGGAACCAACTGCGGACTTCATCGGTGAAGTGGAAGGGCACCTGTGGAGACTGCAATCTTGACAAGGGTGCGGCGATCCGTGCGTATCCTCCGATGAAGCGTTCATAGTACCCGGCCAATCCCATGAAAGAGCGAACCTCCATGGTGTTGGTCGGTTCCGGCCAATCCTGACCTTGATCTTGTCTGCAAGCGGACTGATGCCTTGCGGCGTCACAAAGTGGCCCAAGTACTCGAGCTCCTGCTGTGCGAACTCGCACTTGGCTCCGTTGGCCTTGTACTTGGTCGTACGAAGCCTGTCCAAAACAGCACGTAGATGCACGATGTGCTCGTCCAAAGTTTGACTATACACCAAGATGTCATCGAGGTAGATGAGCACGAACCGGTCCAACATGTCGCGAAACTCCGTTGGCATTGCCGCTTGGAAGGTGGTCGGGGCATTCGTGAGGCCGAATGGCATTATGACCCACTCAAAGTGCCCATACCGTGTCTTGAACACGGTTTTGTGCCTATCTCTTGGATGGATCTCGAGCTGGTGGTAACCGGATTTGAGGTCCAACTTGGAGAAATACTTGGCGCCACCCAAGCGTTCGAGAAGATCGTCGATGCGTGGAAGCGGGCCGGTATTCTTAATGGTTTGAGCATTAAGCTTACGATAGTCAATGCATAAGCACAACTCCTTGTTCTTCTTCCGAACGAAGAAAACAGGTGCACCGTAGGGCGAGCAGCTAGGGCAAATCCAGCCCTTGTCAATGAGGTCATAGAGTTGCGTTCGAAGCACTTCGAGTTCCTCCTCGCTCATGCGGTAAATACATCCGCGCGGAGGTACGACCCAGTCTTCGAGGATGATCTCGTGACGAATTGGCCGATTTGGTACGATTCCGGCGGGGGTTTCAAAGACGTCGCCATAGGAGTCAAGAAGTTGTACAATGTGTGGATCCGGTGGCTGTTCCGCCGCTGGCTCGTCGGGAGGAGGGAGGGTGTGCAAGAAACAAATGCCCATTTCCTCCACGTCGTTCCGTGCAATGGAGTTGCGAATGCTCGCCGCGGAGACCACGTGACAACCAATCGAAGGATGAGATGGGGGGACCGTACATGGCACAAGTACCCCATTCCGGTCACGAACGTGAACGGCGCGGTGGTAGAAGTTCACCGGGTGGTCCTCGCTACGCAGCCATGACATGCCCAATATCATGTCGAACTTTGTGTCCAATATGTCAAAGGACACGGCCTCGCGTGCAAGCGGGGCGAAGTACATGGGGACAGAGTCAATGCACCGGTCGATGGACTTGTGCGTACGACCGTCGGCCAACGTGACTTGCGTAGGCTGCGATTTCCTTCGAACGCACGGCCCAAGGCCGGCGCGGGTCATGAAATCCTCGCTGATGTAGTTGCGAGTAGCTCCACAATCAATCAAGGCGCTGCAGGTCGCCTTCCCGATCTGAATGCGGATGTAGAGTAACGGTGCGTCGGTGTCGTCGTACCGTTGCGTGGCGTACTCGCAGTCAATCTTCGCAATGTACTCGCGAAGGTCAACAACCGCTACTCCGTCTTCCATCAACGGAGTTGGTACTGCAGCGTGCAAGTAGTTGCGTAGCTCCGCCATTAAGGCGTTGCAATGCGGCTTCGGCAAGGAACAAGATGGGGGAAGAGGCAACCATTGGAAGTCCTCCGGTGTCAATGGGTTGAGTTCCTCAAGTCTAGACCACACCGACACGTCCCTGAGTGATGTCGGCGAGGATGCTGGTTCACTTGGCGATGGTGATGAAGTCGCACACGCAAATGACTCTTGCACGTGGAGAGGTTGGTCCAACGGCGGGACCAGCTGGACAACATAGTCTTCATAATCTTCGTGAAGACTAGCGACATACGCATGTTCCCCGGACGTGGAGGAGGTTGTTTGCAAGGCAACCATGCCCGGCGGAGTGGGAAGTGGAGTCGCCTCACTTCCCACGGAGCTCAGTTTCCCGAGCTTTGCCGTGAACAAACATCTTCTTTGCCTTTGTCGGGGCATTGTGACGTCGTGTGCTTGGTGCTGTTGCACCAGTAGCAACAGTTCCACCTCTGGCGGAGTTTGTATTGCTCTTCCGTGAGGCTGAACTTCTTCCATGGCTCGTTCGGCTGTCCAGTTTCCGTTGTTGACGCAGATTTCGCCTTGTTGTTGTTGTTATTGTTGTTGTGTCATGGCAGAAGGGCGTTGACTCCATCTCCTTCACTAGACTCGTGAGTCATCGCCTGGTCGTTCTCTTGTCCATTTCCTTGGACAGCAGCGACTTGCTGGCTGCCTGCCTTCGGAATCGTCGCGATTTTCTGCCACTCGGTTAGCCATTCGCATGTTGGCTGGCTGCCTTGATGCATGCTGAAAATCCGGTTCACGCCTTGGCCCTGAGCGTCGTCGACGATGAAGCGTTTCTGCCACTTCTCAGTCATGGCCTCCCAAGTGATCTTGGTGTGAAGCTTAGAGACTTTGACGCCTTCGGTTTGAGCCAGGTGGTTGAGCCACACTTGGCTGGCACCAGTGCTGCAGAGGTAAAGTGCTGAGATTTTCGACTTGGGCGGGACCAGGTGGATGGAGAACTCATTGGTGAACCCTTGCCACCAACTGATGGGGTCCGCCTTGTGGTAGTCATCAAACCTCTCGATGCTGAACTTCGACATCTTGAATTGTTTCGGCGTCACGTTGTTGCAGGTCCCAGTTGGTTGCTGCCGCAGTTGACGCAGATCCGCTTGTAGAGCGGATATTTGCTGGCTGATGGTCGTCGGTTGTCGGAAACTGTTCAAATTTCCGACAAGCGCGACTAGATGATCCAGCCGTTCTTCCAGCTCGCGGATCGGTGGATCAATGCTTGATGATGCCGTGTGCCTGTGCGGCACGTCATCCTTCTCCAGCATGTCAAGGCGGGCGTGGAGGCTCTTGAGAGTCTCCTCATACTCCGTAATGGTACGCGCCTGCCGAGCCAGCTCCACTTGTTGCCAATTACAAGTGAGGATGACTTGGTACATCATGTTGGCGAGGGCTGACTTGGTCTGTTCCTCCGTAGTTGGTTCCGTCACTGCCGCCGGATCAACATTCCAAGCTTGGAGTGCGGCGATATGAGCGGCTTCCTGCTGCATGAGGACAGATGCGGCATCTTGTCGAGCTTTGTTATGATTGGCAGCTGCGTCCACTTGCTGCCGGCACCGTTGCTCTTCTGCGTGTGCAATGGCATTGAGACGTGCCTCTTCGGCTGCCGCCTCACGTTGCTGTTCCTCTTGGACTTGTTGCATGCAAGTGCCCAGGCGGGCCAGGAAGGCCGTCATGGTCTCTCCTTGCTGCCGGACTGGTGCAGCGTCGAGGGTTCCCGCAGAAGTTGCAGTGGAACCCTCCTGCTAGGCCTGTGGGGCCAGGGGGTTCGAGCTGCATGCCTCGCGTGGACTGCCGGATGCGGCATTGTCCACCGTGGGGTTGTCCATCTCAGAGGGGTGGGGCAGAGGTAGCTGCTGTTCTGCTGCGGCTGCCCGCCCGTCACGTGCGGCGATGCGGTTGCGCGTCGGAGCATAAGCTGCAGTTAGCTGTACGATGTTGATGACAAGGTACTGCTGAAGTGGCCCTGCTGCTGACGTGGCACTGCTGACGTAGTCTGCTGGGATGGTACTGCTGACGTGGCCCTGCTGCTGACGTGGCACTGCTGACGTAGTCTGCTGGGATGGTACTGCTGACGTAGTCTGCTGGGATGGTACTGATGACGTGGCACTGCACTGACGTGGCACTGCGGGCCTGACATATCGCAAAAGGCCCCCTACTGTCAATTTCATATTTGGGGTCCAGGCAGTTGCGACGCGCCAGTTGGTTGAGAGAAACTCAGGCCGGGCCACAAAGACATTTCCACGGCCCTCTGG